GTTGGTTTTTTTATAACTATATTGCAGCGGGTCAAGTAAACCACAGAAGACTACATTACTCTCACGAGAGAAAGTAAACAAGAATGTAATAATATATCAACTACACTATATCTGCTATATCCAGTGCCGACGAGGCCTTTCGTTCAATACCAGGCATCATCAGGCCAGCTTGGATACAGTTAGCGTCGAAACGCTATTTCTATTATCAAACTGCATGGACAACAACTGTCAACCACACTATATCTGCTATATCCAGCGTCGACGAGGCCTTTCGTCCAATACTAAAGTTCATCAGACAGATTGGATAGGATACAACAGACACAATAGTGGCCGAGACCGCATTTATATCATCAATTACTGGAAAAATCAACAACAAAACTGTTTCTATGTGAAGTAGATTATGATGGGGAACTTTTATGGACTTTATTTAAGTCATTACAGCATCATCTTTGTTAAAACACTAGTTTCTTGACTTCATCTATACATACTACATACATATCTTTCATTAATCAGAGCTTATGCAATGTCTTCAGTACTTAGAAGTTAAAATATTAAATTTGCTTTCTTTCTTTTTATCCACTGTCTTCGTAGTGAATAAACGAACGTTTAGAAGTATACTCAGAATTAGTGATGGGTAGGTTAGAGTTTATTTGTTTAGAATATCCGTGCAAAGCTACTGAAGGGCTATCTGCGTTGACTATCCCTAGTTTTGAACTGATAGACTAAAGGGAAGACAGCCAGTTAACAGTACCCACCGTCAAATCTTGGGCCTCTCTAGTAAAATTGTGGGATTTGACCCTCATTTTTATAACGTACCAGTGTCTCAAAGTGCGCATCGCAATTGTACGACAATGAGACACAAGCCATAAACCCTTGGATTCATAGATCGAGCACACTAACCAGTAAACCACGCCTGGCCCTATTAGTGTTGATCTCTAGATGTATACTTCTACGGTTAGGAAATACAAGCAATGTACAATAGCTGTGAACTTATACAAAATGAAGAAACATCTGTTTGGTGGTTGGTTTTAAAACAGAATACTTAAAGAATAATCCTGATGAATAATGGCTGGAGACGGCTTGAATGGGTAATGAAGAAAAACTTTAATATAAGTTTAACATAACAGCAAATGCACAACTTTTCCACAAGGTTTTGTCATCATCAAAGCAATGACGTTACCCCATAAACGAGAATACTTTACGTCACGTAGTGTATGAATAACTTCCCAAAACATCTACCAAATAAAATAAAAACATAAATAGATTTTAAAATTTTTACTTAAAAATATTATATACAAATCTTAGAAATACGTACAATAATTTCGTATTTCAGTGAGAGTCTTCAGATAAAGGAAGTAGAACGTTAACGATTATCAGACAACACATATACGATGCAGAACTGATACGTTGACGTCAAAACCATGAGGTAAATTCTTCAATCACTGCTAGCAAGAAAAAGGAAAGAAAGGTAGACAGTAACTTCATTCACATGAAAAATTGTGAAATGCTTTGTTATATATATATATTTCTTAATAACACTCGTTTCTCTTCTCGGTTGTTGAACGGTATCACGCGAACAGATACGCCGTACTGACGTCATTACTTGTGGTATTACGTCAGATCTCCCACGTGAATATCGCACTCGCTTTCAACACACTTTACAATTATTGCAACATACGTTTAACAACAAACATGCACGTAGAACTCTTCAAAATACCAAAGGACTAACTATTAGCTCAATGAAAGGTCACGTTATTACGCAGAACCATAAAACACCATAAAAACTAGAATTAGGTTAAAGTTCAATCGATAATAGACGAAAGGCAGCCAATAAAAGCAACTACGCCAGTCACTGCTTTTTTGTTAGTTTTATTATTATCATTCACTCTTTCTTTTAAAGCGTTGTTCTATTTCTTGAATAAGATAAACAGGGAAGAACTGGTACACTCACTGTATTATCTCACAAGGTTCGGACAACTTAGGAGATTTGGATTAGTCCTAAATCCGCAAGATAAGCTAATAATGCAAAATAAAATTTATAATATATATATATATACGATATTCTAATCAACACTGTTAACGAAAGTAAAATTAAGAGAGAATATAGCATACCTCACGTATGGAACACATAAACACTATTTGTCTAGTTCCTCTCCTGTCGTATCTTTACTACTCGTTCAGGAATTACGAATTATTTTGATAAATAAAGAACAGATTCGGATACTTTGCATAATGAATAATTTGACCAGTTTTTGTAAATGTTTCTAGTATATTGAGATATCAAATACATTATTAATTGTTACGTGTTGGCGTTCTTCTAACATGTATAAGTAACAAAGTAAGAACAGTATAAAGCATTTCGTTGATTGTACTCATTACCAGATGATTTTTAATTTTGATCTAGTCAGGTAGCTCATATTAAAGATAGGTGGAGGGCGTTGCTGCTTGGTTGTTTTCCCTCTGGTGAGCAGTTCTAAAATAGCCTTGGAAGCCTCTGATCTGGCCGTTTAACCAATGAGTCACATAAAGTGCTGTTCAAGTTGAAAATATACACAATGTGTATTACAAAAATAAGAAGAAAATTTGTTAGATTTTAAATTTTAGACTATAGAAATGGCCCTTCTAACTGTACAGATTTTATTTCAATTAAGCAAAACTTTACACAATTCTCCCTAATAACGAGAAAACCCATTAACGTCTCCGACGGTGTAACTTTGGAGTAGTCTGAAGTCTGAAATAAATTACTGCGCCATGTGTTATTACTGTTTAGCTGTAGAGTCGGGCAGCAGAAAAATACTGATATTTATATAGTACAGCATATATGAACAACTGCTGCGAACGGTATGGCAGGATTAACTGTCTCAGTTGTAACAGGTGAAAATACAAAGTGTCTTCAGCAGCATAAAGCTCTCCGAACCTTGAACTTTCCGATATGCAGACCCATAAGCTAATCACTAGGCCATGTCCGGCCACATTTGTACTGGTAATTATTTGATAGTTTATAGAAAATTGATAAGTAAATAGAGGATATGAAATTTGGTAATATAGGATTACTCATCACAGTACTTGGAGTATTCTACTGACTAACAAAGGATGATGAAGAACACACAGGTTGACCAAATATAACTTAAGATGTGTGTATTACATTGTCATCTCTATTCACCCCCCCCCCCTCACAAGACAACTATTTTCATGTTGTATAAAATACCTTTGATGTATGTGTGCTTGGCGTTGCATTTTCGTTGTTTAATTTGCTGCATATAAACTCACGATCATTTGTACAGTGTGAATGAAACCTGTGGTGGGCAGATCACGTCTTCTGGGTAAAATAAAATGTGCTGTCATCTAGTGACAAAATATGTAAAATCGCTTAAATTCCTACCGCTAGTCATTATTTTACTTTTCACAAGATACAGTTGATTCTCTCTTTATCAATTAAAATCGCTCATTTAGTTGAAATAAAAAACTGTATCTAAAAAACGTGGTGTATTCTCTTATTTATTATGTTGTTAATTATAAATGAAAAATTACAGCAATGCCAAGTATTAGTGTTATATAGCTACAGTTAGTTGTAGTATTTTTGGTTACAGCACAAATAATACCTCATTATTATCTATCCCAAACCATTTAAAAGACTTACATTGCAACAACTCATTCTTTGCATAAAAGCCCCTGATGGCTAAAGGTAAAATTGAGAGATTGTAACGCTGAAGTTCAGGGTTCAATTCCTGTGGTGGACGCAGCACAAATAACCCAGTATTACTCATCTATTGCCTTTAAACCAATAATGACAATGAAAGCATGTGAAATCCCCCCCCCCCGTACCTGTAGGTTAGAGGTAAGATTATGGATTTACACCGCTATATTTTGGGGATTGATCCTCAAAGATGGAAAGAGGGCAGATAGCTCATAGTGTTGTTTTGCATTAAGAAGGCAACAACGTTTGCAAATCATGCGAATAATGACAAAAATATTCTTTAATGACCCAAAACTTAACACTTAGCGGCTCAGCAGTAAGTCTTTAGGCGTATAACGCTAAAAACCGGGTTTCGATACTCACGGTGAACATACCACAGGTAGTCCATTGTATAGCTTTGTGCTTAATAACAACAAACAAACCAAAAAGTTACCTAGCGTGTAAAATAGAAGCTACTCTTTTAATTTCGACAAATAAAGATCTTGTATAAACTAAAATCAAAATTTAAGTTATTCAATCATCACCAAATTCTGTTTGTAATAAAGTAAATGTTTTATTTTATGCGATTAATTAAAACTCTAGAATAAAATTTAAGAAACACAGTTCGAACAATAACATAACTATAAAACTCTTACACGTCATTGTTTTAACTTGTTTGTGTTCAAATGTTATTATAGTTAATTCATGTTTTTTGGCAACAAGCTAATATTATTCCGTAGGTGTCGCATAAAAAAAGAGAAGGTGATCAATGCAAAAGGGCAGGATGCTAGAAGCTTATGATCACTCATAATAATACGTTAATGTTTCAGTTGATTAATTGCTTGTAGTTGTGCACAAAGCTACACACTGGGCTCTCTGTGCTGCGCCCATCACTGTTATTGAAACGAAACTCGGTTTCAAGCATTATACATCCGCAGACATTCCGCTGTGCCACTGGGTGGTGGGGCTAGTGTATCAAAAATGATTTATTAAAAAGAAATATAATTAAGTATTCAGTTATGATTAGTTGCAAATGCAAGGAAGATTAAACTTAAACAACATAAATGAAATTTAGTTAGGCATTTCAAATATATTTATATCATAATTTTAGATGTGATTACTTTTGAAACTACAATTATGTGCGGTACACACATGCTTTTTTCGTATGATCGCAAATTCTCAAATTGCGAAGATTTCTTTTTTCTAAAACACAATTTTTTCCATACATATTTTAATCTCTCTCTTACAAGTAAACTTCATCATTCTCAGAGTTTTTGTAGTGAGTGTTCCGCCACATATGAATATATTTAATAATAAATTTTAGGCTGTTTCACGTTTTAAATTTTGCTCTAGCTCGTTCGTAGAGCGCCTCAGTTTACCTGGTTCAAACTAAGTTAAATTACGAAGAAGAGTGTGTTAGTATTACCGTATTAGCAACGATATAAACTGCTGGCTATAGCTAGTCGTAATCTAAGAATTAGGCTTAGATCCAACGTGTTTTTTTTCTTTTTTTGTACTATCTACTTAACGTCTTGGTTAGACTGTAATTATAAAACAGAGTTCAACGAGTAGATTACGAATAGGAATTAGCATAGGTTTGATGAGTGTAATGAAAATTTAATAATCATGGAAATAACCAAAAAAAGTAAGAAATTTTAAAATTTGTTGAACGTTGAAATAAATACTTAAGTTTCAATTTGTAGTACACTGTAGTTGCAAAATGTACAGTAATTTCAAAAGTTACCTGACAGAAACTCAATACTGGTACAGTGGAAGAACCCACAAATACACATATTTATGTGGATAGATCACATATAAATTATACATATTATAAACGAACCTGTTTTAAACCAAATGTGGTTTTCGTATTTTCTTGTTGTTATTTTCTATAGAACGATTGTTAATGTTTTACTGCTTATTGTGTAATGTAATAATGTGCGAACTTCTAATTTCTATTACACAGATTTCAAGGAAGCTCTGTCTGTTGTTGAGGCTGCTATTCAAGAAGCATCTTTTCTTAGTATTGATGGAGAATTTACAGGCAAGTTAATATTAAATCCCTGTTCTTATATTTTGTAAGATTTATGTTTATGTGCAATATTACTTTACATTTTTTGTCCATTCTGTTATTATTATAGGATATGAACTAAAACATGTCATGTTTATAACTTCAATATCAACCCTAATATAATTATAAAGTAATTAAAACTCCATATAGTGATTTAATGATTACGTATGAATTATTTTTTCCTCTCCTTGATCATATCTGTGTGTACAATGTATATAAAACTTTCAAGAAAATAAAAAATATAATTGTTGTCAAAATAATCTAAGGTGTGATATGATAGTATTATAGTTTTTTCACACATTAAACTCAGATTAATGTTGAGTGTTGTGATGTGTAATTCATATGAATCTAATGCTTTAAAAAAACTAAATATTTCAATTTTTAAAGCTTATTGCAGTGAATGGAGGTTCACTCTTTAAATAAAGACCTGGATCTTCTGTGTATTCACAATGTTTCACAGAGTTACATTCAAAATTTAATTAAACAACCTTATTACCAACGTAGTAAATAAAATTAGTATCAGAGTGTAGCTTATAGTTTCATATTATTTAAGGTTTAATTTATTAATTTCAAAATGAAGTATTTTAAACAATTCTACATCCTCACTTTTGTTGACCCCCCCCCCCCTC